GCGGAGCCTGGGCTCACGCTCGTGATCAACAACCCTCCAGCCTCTGAGCACGAGTTGGTCGCCACGCAGCTGTCGTCGGTCTCAGCCCTGCCCGGGCATGTGGCGCAGCACCCGCGCTTCTACTCGATCCAGAGGCCTGGCTCTGGCAAGGCCGCATCGACAAAGGGGAGCCATTCGTCGACCAGGTTTGGTGCAACGACGGCAGTCTTTGCGGACACTAATTGCCGAAGCGAAAAGCTTGCGAATTACATACAGTTGAACAGTTCGTTGGCCCAATTACATAGGACAGTTTTGATTGGCATGGTGGGTTGCGTCGCAGTTCGGCGCAGCGACCGTCAACTTATGCGTTGTGCGGGAGTACGGTTTCCAGCCGCAAGCCCTTTCGCAACATTGGTTTGTACCTTCACAGCGTTCCACCTTTCGCTCTGCCTCATGCCCCTCCCCCCCCGCTCGCCTCTCCACCGTGTCCTCTCCTCACCATGCCTTTTCCCTTCGTCCTCTTTCTCTGGCCGTCATGGGAACCTCCCTCAACACCACCTTTTGCAGAGACGCGCGTGTCTGACCCTCGTGGTGTAATACGGCCTCGGGTGTTAGCAGGTCGATCCGAGATAGCGCGGATCCGATCAGAGCTGCGCCCCGCTTATATACGTTATGTTTCTCCCGGCTCCCATGGGCCCTAATACCCCAACGTTGAATTACATGACGCGCACTGTGTGCAGTGTGCAGATTGCCTCGGCCCCGCCATCCAAATGGCATCGGTTTTAGCCATGGCACCACCGGCCGCGGCGCCGTTCTTGTAATTGGACTCTTCTGTCGCACCGTTTTGCACGAGAGCGACACTACCACCAGACTGTCCCGAAAAAAAAAACAAAAAAAAGGGGAGCCATTCGTCGACCAGCTGCTGCCTCGCGGCGGCTTGACTGCGTGGGCGCCGACGTCGACAGCAGCCCTGGGACGGCTGTACGTGCTCCTCCTGAAGGCCCCCCAGGACATCTTTGCAGGGCGCCCGCTGCGTCTTCTGGTCCCCATGGAGGTACTTCTGGGCTGCACGACCTGCGGTGCCATCCGTGACTTGTTCTGGCACGCTTTCACGGGCGAGAGGTGGGCGCCGGTGGTGCGCGAGCAGGCGTTTGTTAAGCAGCCGCTACAGATTGTTATCCCTGGTGCTGGCGGTCTCTTGCATGCTTCGCGAGGGCTGTTCATCGCAACGCTGTCCATGCACATGCCCATGCAAATCCCCAGGGTGCTTTCGGTGGCCGAGCTGGTGGCGGTGCTGCACCAGGTGCTGTCCCTCTTCGCAGACTGGCGGTCCATTCTCCTTCCGCAGACCATCCAGACGGTCCTGCAGATGGGCAGTGCCCTCGGGGCCAGGTTGGGCAGGCACTTGCGGAGCCCTGGGTCGCCTCCAGATTTACCCCGGTCTCGCGTCAAATTCCTGCTGCCCCGACGGGGCGTCACCGAGATGGGGATGCAGCTGTTCATTCGGGGCCTCAGGCAGACGCAGATCGGCCAGGATGTGCTCCTGGCGGACAGGACTATCTTCAGCGATAATTTGGCGCTCATCGTGGACATGTCATCTCCGCCAGCCTTGCCCAGGGTCTGGCAACTCTGTGACGAGGCGTTGTTTCTCGAGCCCCGGTTGGGCACTATTCGCACGTCGGCGCAGCTGGACGTGCGGCAGGACATAGTGGCGAAGCTCTGGGTGGAGGACAAGGTGGCGGCCGTGACGCAGATCCGCAGCAGGCCATCCAGGCAGGGCGGCACGGCATGGGCTACCCCAGAAGCCACCCCCTCTAGCCTCCAGGCCGCGCTGAGCCCGGCCGCGGCTCGGAGGCATGGGGCCAGACAGCGCGCCTGGGCCGGATGGCATTCCGTTCAAGGCATGGCGTCAGCTGGGCCCATTGGGCGCAGACGTCTTGCGGGCGGCGTTGTAGGCCCTGACAGCCTGGGGTGCCCCCGAGGATTTGTTCATGGCGCTCCTGCTCAAGGGCGAAGGCTTGCTCCCAGACGGGCGCGCAGGGCATGCACCTTCAGACACGCGTCCGCTCAACGCGGTGAACAGCGATAATCGGCTGCTGGCCGCCGCGGTGCGCTTCTGCGCGGAGGAGCCGTTATCTTCGATGATTGCATTGGGTCAGCAAGGATTTGCCCCAGGCCGCTGCCTTCGTCTCGTTCCCAGCCGCGAGGTGCCGCCTGGTTGTTCGACTTCCCGGCGGCATTCCCCAGCGGTGCCCATGAGTTCCTCATGGCGGCGCTGCGGGCTACTGGCCTTCCAGGGTGGCCCACCCGAGTCTATACGAGCACAACATCTGTCAGATGGTCGTCGGCGGCAAGTTGCACGCCGGCTTCTCGTCGCGCGCTGGCATCTGGCAAGGGTGTCCGCTTTCTCCGATCCTCCTCGCAGCTGCCGCCGACGTCCTCCCACGTCGCCTTCGAGCCAGGTTGCCAGGCGTGGAGCTCCTGGCGTTCGCAGACGATCTGGCCGCCGTGGTGCTCGATTTGATACTCCCTGCGCCCAGTCCGCACGCTGTCTTCCACAAGTTCGGGGGTCTGTCTGGTCTGCGCCTCAACTTGCCCAAGGCAGTCGCGGTGCCGCTGCTCCTTGGAGATCGCGATGCCATTGCGCAGGAGTTGATCATGGACCGGCCAGGATGGGGCGGGCTCCGCGCGGCCGGTCACGCCAAGTACCTCGGCTTTGTGCTCGGCCCCGGTCGCGGCTGCAAGGCGCGCGACAAGGCGCTGTCCAAGCACTTGGATAGGGCGGTTTCGCGGGGGAAGGCGGGGGGTGGCCTCCTCGCCGCGGCTGCAGCTTATTCTCCCTACATTGCTTCAGTGGTGAGCTCTCTGATTCAATTCGATGGCTCGCCCCC